ATATAGGGAAGTTCATGATAATATAATTCAACTGTTCCATAACTTTTAGAATTCTTTCTAAGATAGGATTGGTTTCCACTGCTAGATTAGTAGCCAATGATCACACAGGTTGCCAGAGACGGGGAAGCAATTTCTGTTTGTATAACAAAGATAACAGCATACACACCCTTTCCATCTTTAACCAAAGTCCAAAGCGTACAACACAAGCCCCGACAGGAATGAGGCAGATAAACATGGTGCACTTTGTTAACCTACAATAAACAACTTCACGATTAAAGACAGTAATAGAGGCTACAGACAGGCTGCAAACAATCCACCAAGTACACTTTACAGGGATCCTGCAAACTGCCAAGGAAACATACTGAGCCTGCCACGGGGACATGTGGGATCTCGCCTACATCTCTTATTCAGACAGAATATATAAAGAAACTAGGTGTCTACTTTAAATACAGCTCGATTGCACAGCATGTTCAGCTTAACCCACAGTTAAAAAAATCCAGATCAGAGTAGCAACAACAACAAAAAGGACTTTCAGTCGGGAATGGTCTCATCCTCGCTGATTTAAATACAATTTCTGTGATAAATTCCCCATCATAATTCAAGAAGGTAATTTAACGATTAAATGAAGGCATTGATTGAAATTGTAATATGCTATGAGTGTAGAGAATTCCTTAAAGGACCACTCTAGGCACCCAGACCACTTCAGCTTAAGAGAAACTGCTATGTTTATGAATGGGTTAAGCCTTCCCCCTAATCCTCTAGTGGCTGTCTCATTGACAGCCACTAGAGGCGCTTGCGTGCTTCTCACTGTGATTTTCACAGTGAGAGCACGCCAGCGTCCATAGGAAAGCATTGTAAATGGAGGAGGAGAGAAGGAGGAGAGCTCCCCGCCCAGCGCTGGAAAAAGGTAGGTTTTTACCCCCTTTCCCCTTTCCAGAGCCGGGCGGGAGGGGGTCCCTGAGGGTTGGGGCACCCTGGGGGGTGGGGGCACCCTGGGGGGTGGGGGCACCCTCAGGGCACTATAGTGCCAGGAAAACGAGTATGTTTTCCTGGCACTATAGTGGTCCTTAATAGAGAACCAAGCTATGGCCTGTTTCTCCCACTATGTGCTGTTGGACATTTCACATGCATGTGATCAGAAGATCTGAAGGTGAAGGCAGCACTGACCGAGTGGCAGGGCAGAATGGTCCATCTAATGGCTGAAGTTTTACCGGAGATGGGAGCCGCTGACTTTCAGGTAAAGCAGTCTGGTTGGCCAATATTACAGCAATGCCAGTGTTTAGTTTTAATTCATATTAAAGAGTTCATGATGATATTGTGATTTTTACGAGTAGAGATTTACTACAAGTCTTTGAATACAGTAAAAGGACAGAATTTAAACCAGAGCATGCAGCATAATTAACAGCATGCTGACTAAATATCAGAGCTAGAAAACCAATCCCATTACAGCATAACTATTTTGTATCTATTATATATTTAATATTTTCTTTAGGTCAAACACACAGTACCACATTTACTGAAGAGAAGTCAAGACTGAAAGCTAGAGAGTTGTGCTTGGCTCGGAACATGGAACAGTCAGATGGGTTAGACTGATCTTGGGTTATAAAACATCTGATTCTACCTAAAGTTCACTCAAAATGGTTGAGCTGGAAGGGGGAGAGAAAGAGGAAAATGGGGATGAAATTAAATACAGATGATTAAAGTAATTCTGCCTAAAACAAAAGTATAGAAAGCATAATAATGGGGGCACATGCTGTCAGCAAGAACCTGATCCTTACAGAAAGTCAAAATCATTTAAAAGGATTTATTTTACTTATTTATTGTAAAATATTGTGTATTATTTTACAAAGTATGCATACAACACAACTTCAGTCTTTTGACAGTCATCTTTAATCCTTCTGGCCTGAAGCACAGATTATCTGACCAAACCCCATGTATGTAGTGTGCATTCATTAATCCTGACATAAGCATGTGTATCTCAAAAATGCACTCTGGTACGGTATCAGAGCTTCAAATTGTGCAGATATTCAGCACTTATTCATATGGCTGGGTAAGCCACCAGATTTACTAAAGCGGCATGGTATACGTACCTTATATACTAGAGTATAAGACAAGTTTTTCGGCACATTTTTTGTGCTGAAAAACCCCCCACTCGTCTTATACTTGAGTCACTGTCTGTATTATGGCAACTTACACTGCCACAATACAGACCAGGACCGCCGGGCTCATTACAAGCCTGGCGGTCCTGTTGGGGGCTGGCAGAGAGCTGTAACTTACCTTTCTTGCAGCTCCTGTCAGCTCCCCAGTCAGTTCCACTGCAAGACTCGCGAGAGCCACTGGTTACCGTGGCAACACTCCGTGCGGCACTCAGACCGCAAGACTTACCGTGGAGCTGACAGAGGAGCTAACTGGACTGGTGGAGAAGGGAGCTGACAGGAGCTGCAGATAAGGTAAGTTACAGCTCTCTGCTAGCCCCCTCCTACACAGGCAATGCCACTGGACCACCAGGGAATGAGAGCCCCCCCTCCCTGACCATGTATCAAGCAGGGAGGGGGACAAAAAAATAAATAAATAATATATATAATAAGAAAAAATATAAAAAAATATTAAAATAATTTTAAAAAAATAAAAATGCCCACCCACCACCAAGGCTCTGCATCACACACACACACTGCAGTTAAATATTCAATTAATATAAATTTTGGGGGATATTTTATTTAGAAATTTACCAGTAGCTGCTGCATTTCCCACCTTACTCTTATACTCGAGTCAATAAGATTTCCCAGTTTTGGGGGGTAAAATTAGGGGTCTCGACTTATATTCGGGTCGTCTTATACTCGAGTATATACGGTATTCATTAGAATGTGACATGTAATCTTACTTTCAGTAATACGAGTTCATTTAATGAGAGCAGGATTGTACAGAGCTACTAATGTTACAATGAATAAGGATGTCCTTAGGTTTGGGATTAAGACTTTTTATTCAAGAGCAAGTAAACATACATTAGGTCAAAGATCAGTTTGGAACAGGGAAGGTGACAATCCATAGCTGCTAGCTGTGTGCGCATGAACACAAACCTACACAGACAGTATGGTAATCATGCAAAATTAGGACTCCAAAAATGTTACCACAAGCATCTACATCTGAACAATAAACACACTGGCTTCTTAAATTCTTAAACAATGAAAAATGTGTGTTAAAAAAAAAACAAAAAAAAAAAAACCCTCGCATCCCTGTCTAAAGTGAAGTATTGGAGGCAGATCATATTGCAGAACACTGCCGAGGAGTGTTTGTGACAATCTACCACCGGCTGGGT